GTTGAGGGAAAATTTTAAAATTATTGTTTATATTAAAATATCATTTGAATCTAATTTAATAATTTTTATTTTATTTTATTAATTAATAGTTTTAATTGATTATAACTCTTTGTAGCCTTGTAGTCAATTAAATTTTTTAAAAATATTACTCATAAATATATATATATATAATCGATGAGTAGTATTTCGAGCCAAAACGAGCCGAACACGAACTAACAAATCTTTGTTCGTGTTTGGCTCGTTAACTTAGCGAACGAGCCAAACACGAGCTGTTCGCGAACAACGAGCCATTTTGAGAGGGCCCAAGCATGACACCTTGCACACACAATAACCGCAAATGATTCCAAAAGTAGAAAATACAGTAAGGTATATGAGAGATTTAAAGAAAAAGCCTAAAAGTGTCGAAATATAAAGTATCGGGTGGTTGGAGAGCGATCTAATTTTGCCTTGCCTCTGCCTCTAGTTTTACGGAAGGAGATAGCTAATAAATTGGTAAAATGAGTGTCATTGCCAATAGTAACCAATGTATCATCCAATAAGTTCCCTAGCTCGAGTAGGCCTTCGCTTCTTCTTCCTCTTGAAATAGACCTGCCATTCCTCCTCCGAAAATTGGCTCGCCTGATCTTGGTCTAAAGTGTGTTGGACATGTGAAGGTTGTTGAACATTAGAAGCAACTACATGTTGTACCAGTTGTTGTTTAGTTGGATCAAAGGAGCACTCTCGTGTGTCTTAACATGTAAGTGATTCTTCTTCAATAACAGTGGGTGGTAAAAGCACAACTGGATTTGTAGCTGTAGTATGATATTCTTCGTCAGGAACAGCTGCGTCGGAAAGAGGATCGGGTTGCATCTTCTCATCAGAGATGATAAGTGACTGATCTTTAGCGATATCAGACCTTAGATGAGGATGCAAACGATAGCAAATAATGAAACTATGGCCAAACATATGACAATGAGAGCAATAAGGAGGGTGTGGTTCTATTTCAACCTTTTGCCAATACCCGTTGTGAGTGGTTCCAATCCATACCTCATCTGGAGCTGGTTGAGTGATATCTCTGTTAACTAACGCATAAGCTACAGAGGGTTTGGTGACAGCAAGCGTAGGACTATCAACCTTGAGAGGCTTACCGTAAGCAGTTGCTAAGGAGTAGAGAATTTCCAAATTGAACAGATGCAATTTTAACCCCAGAAACTTTATCCAAATTAGAATGATAGGGGACTCCGCTTTGGGATCAAAATCTACAGTCCACTTCAGAATTTTCATGTAGCGGTTGCCGATCTTGATAACTTTCCGAGAAAAAATGCGAGTGTAATCGACATCGTGAGATAACTGAATCAATATGTATCGACTTTCAAGTAAACCGATATTCCAACAGCCTAACAGCTTCATAGCATCAAATTCTTTTCGAATGATCTCAAGTTTTAGCCGACCATAAAAAATTTCCTCACTAGAGCAAAACTCCAAGAAGATGCGAGAATGTTGGTTTCAATCTCTGTGAGAATAAGAGCAGACTTCCCTTTTTTTTCTCAATTTTTTAATGAAGGTGTGATCACCACCACCTTCAAGAGCCTCATGGAAATATTCTGGAACATTTGCAAGATTTATCTATACGAAAACCAGTCTCTAAATCTGAAAAAGGAGCACTAGTAGAAATAGAGAGGCCGCCGACAACTGCAGTGACATAGGAACGTGTCCATGCCATCTCCGCCTAGAATCTGTCGGGCAGGAAGCGAGGATGTCATCTGGATAAAGAAGTGCGAAGGAGGTGTTGTCGGGAAATGAGGACGTCGTCTGGAAGGAAAGCGAAATTGCGTCGCCTGAGGAATATATATATATATATATATATATATTTGAAAGTATGAGTACTATTTCGAGCAAAAAAACGAGCCGAACACGAACGAAAAAATCTTTGTTTGTGTTCGATTCGTTAACTTAACGAGCCGAACACGAGCTATTCGCGAACAACGAGTCGTTTTGACAGCCCTAGTCGTTAGTGAGATACAGGTGCTTCTCGGACCGCAGTAGAAGAACCTTATGCCCCAAGAGATTACAACAACACTATTTGCAATGAATGACAGAAGCTTCGACGAATGATGTTGAAGCTCTTCCTACCTGGGAGACTGATGCAGGGGCTTTTGGGGCTCACCTCGGCCAAACTGGCTGAGGTAAGGTTGACTATTTCAGATAGTTGGGCAAGGATCGACTTGCCCTTGGTCCAGGCTAAGTTGGCCGCCCAAGGGGAGGGTCCCCCTCTTTAGCTATCTACTATTATAATTATGTTATTTTCTTTGTTTAGGGCTAGTTTCGACATCAGGTTCCTATTAGGACAGCCGCCATCATCTCGTTTCTCTTTCTATGGTTGTATCCAACATCTCGTTCCGAGGTGGTATGTATCTTTCCCCTTTCCTGCTTGCTGCCGCTCTTTCCATGTTCACTGCCACCCTCCTGCGCCCCTTCCCCTTTTTCTCCCTTCTGTGACCTACATTTAGCCAATACCTAGCCGCAAGTCCCTGTCTCCAGCAATCCCCTTTCCAACCTCCTATACGAATGCCAACCCTACTACCAAACGCACCTTCCTTCCCTGTCGCCGGCCTTTTTATTACAGTTTCATACGTCAACCCCACCAACAGCCTTCCTGCTTCCTGTCGTCCCAACTACAATTTCATACCTCATCCCGTTAGGCTTCCCTTGCAGACCTCCATGCTGTACCCTCCACACAACAGTCACCTGCCTTCTTCACAAACATTTTCTACCACACCGTCATACTCCACCAGTCGCTAGTTCCTCCCAATATGCTATTTCAACGGCCTCCCCACCTTTGCCCGTTTCCTAGTTTGAATCTTTGTGCTGTGTTCTGTTGTTAATTATTATTTCAGTTGGCTGTAATTTCCTATTGAAATTTTAGTAATAATATTTACATTTCTATTGCGGCACGCGCACGCACACACAGACACAGATATATATATATATATATATACTAAAAAATTTCAAAGGCTAATATATTAAATAGAAAATTATACAGATAGATTATATGAGCGGACCCAAAAATAGGCACTCAACCCACACAGTACAACGCACAAAAAACTAAAAAAAAGAAATGGTACTCTTAAAAATAAAAAAGCCCAAAACCACTAGGGTGCGGAAAAAATGAGGGTCAACCTAATTTAGTTGTCTTTACCTCTAGTTCTCGGAAGGGATCCAACTATTAAATTGGTGAGGTGCGTACCATTTCCTGAAACAACCAAAGTATCATCCATAAGATTCCTGAGCTCAAGTAGATCTTCTTTCTTCTTCTTTCTCCTGGAAGTGTAAACCTGTCATTCCTCATCCGAAGAATCAGTCTGATGAGGTGATAGAGCTGTAGCAAAAGGATTGTCAACCGGATTGTCAACCGTTGTACTGTCAACCGTTGTACCCACACTAGGTTCTAGTATATCTAAAGTATGAATTGTCGCCTCCACATCGAATACTTCCTAAAGATGGAGAGCTGCAAGATTCTCCTGATTATAAATTTGAACACTAGCCTTTGTAGGTAATAGTCATTTAGTATTGTTTCCAATTGGGTTTGAAGGTGTAGGTTACCCAGTAGAGGTATCCAACATCACATTAATCGCAGAAACAGTAACAGTAGTGTCAGGGGGGTCCACAAGGGCAATGAAATCAGACACCAAATTTTGTCTTGTGGTAGTTTTCTCTCAGGTAGAAAAAATATGTCCAGAGCAGTGGGGTTAGACCTCTCCTTATTTACTTGAACCATAGATTTCAAATTGGGATAGAGCTTGTGACAGTTATCAAAAGTATGCCCAAACATCTTACAATGGGTACAATAAGGAGATCTGTGTTGCATGATGATTTGTTGTCAATATCCATTATGAGTTGTGCCCAGTCGGACTTCAGTAACATAAAGTAAAATAATATTTTTTTTCACTAGTATTCTGGCCACAGAAAGTCCCGTTAAATTGAAAGTTGGTAGACCTAGCTGCATAGGGTCCCCAAGAATGACCCCAATAGAGTAGAGAACCTGATGATGAAAAAAGTGCAGCTTGAGACCAGATAGACTTAACCATACCGGTACAGTGAGAGCTTCATGATTTGGATTGAAATCAAGAAACCACTTGACTAACTTCATTGACTTGCCTGCAATATTAAGATATTTATTGGAGAAAATCCGGGTATAGTCTTCAGCCACAGTTAGTTGAATCAACACATGTCTCTCATCTATGAGTCTCACTTTCCACTTGCCTACCAGTTTGAAGAGACGCAGCAACGTCGGGACGAAGCAGAGGATGAGGAGCGAGAGTAGACGAAACAAAAGCGAGGTGCGAACCCTCTCCTTTCAGTGAAAAAATCAAATGTGATGGAAATCGTCATTGGAAACCCTAGCAGAGCTCTCGACCGAAGCCGACATCGTGATTTTTCTATATATATGTATATATATATATATAACTACTAATGTATGTTTTTAGTATCACATGCCATTAGGAAGAATTCATCCCTGTGGCACAAACTCATCTGCCTGTTGCATGCCTGCCTGAGTTAGGGAAGCGGGGTTACTAAAATGCCGCATTTTTTTTGTGAACAATAAAATCAGTTTGATGAATAGTGAAATTAATGCAAATTTTATTAATTTAAAAATAATTTTATATATCCAAAAATATTAAAAATTTATACATACTGTTATCTATCATATTAATTGTGATAAGGTGTAGAATTTTGTAAAAATAGTTTGAATGATTTTCATAGAAAGCAAAAATTGTTATAAAGTTTTAAAATTTTTTTTATTTACTTGTTTGGATATTTTACGTTTTAAATTTTAAGCCTTCCTGGCATAGATTTTAGCCTGACAAGAATTGTGGAGTTTGTAATGAACATAGGATGATTGAAAAGCTTATGAGCCAAACTAATTTTTGAATGGACTTGCACAACTATGGGTTGTTTTTTTGTCTTTTTTATTAAATGGCACCTGAATTATTTGATATCGTCGTATAATGTGTCTGCAGCTGCAATCGCTGGATTTTCTTGGCCTTCTCAAGGCTGCAAAAAATGAAATGCCAGAGACTGAGACGTCTGTAAGTTGCCCTGCTTAAATTTATTTGGCAATTTCTAATTGATTTACTTTTATCATCATAACATGTTTACAAAGAGTTATAGTTCTGATCAATGATATTTTGAGCAAATTTTTAAAATGGACGTTATTAAAAATTATTTTGGTAAAATTGTATTTTCTAAAAAAAATTTAAAAAATTGACATAATCGGCTGTGCCGAAGTCGAATTGCTTAATTAGAAATTAAAATGGAATTTTGGAAAGTCAATTTATAAATGAAAACCAAATTTCTTGTTTTCAATGCTTGTTAGATTGTCTCCGCAATTTCCTGAAACATGTATGTTTTTTCTTTTTTTTTTGTGTTAGCTTAAGTTTTGTTATTAATATTTTGTATTTTTTGTTTATTGTTTAATGAATAATAATAATAATATTAATAATAGGAATAATAATAATAAATTTTATATTAATATCAAAATTTAAATAAAAAAATATAAACTAGAAAAGAAAATTAAATACACAAATAATAATATAAATAAACCGAAACTAAAAAATAAATTTAGAAATAATAAATTAATATTATTTCTATTATTATTAAAAAAATATAAACCGAAAAGAAAAAGTAAACATAAAATTAGTAAATTTATATTGTTTTTATTATCAATAAAAGAATCAAAAATGAAAATAAAATTTAAAAATAAAATATTTATAAGGTTTCTATTATTATTAAGAAATTATAAAGTAAAAAGAAAAATTAAAGATAAAAATAATAAATTTTCAATATTACTATTATTATTGTAGGCAGGAAGATTTGAGGTTGTAGAATGATAATTTAATATTTCACTATTGTATAAAAATCACCATATTATGATTATGGTAATTTAAAGTATTTATCATCGAATTTTCAATACGGCGTTATTCACTACTCTGTATGCAGCGTATTTTGTAACACCATATTCAAGATACATTGTTCTATCGTATTTAAGGATATACATAGTTACACGATTGAATTTGCCGACGACGGTGAGCATGGGACGATCGGTGGTGGTCGGAAGCTACAGAGGGCTAAAGTTACGGTAATCGGCGGCTGCGCATTTTTAATTTTTCTTTTTCTCGGTGGTACATACAGAAAAAATATAAAATTAATATAATAATAGTACTAATAATAATATTAATAATAGTAATGCATATCTTAATTAATTTATTAATAATCTATAAAACAACTTCTACATATTTTCTATATTTATTTCTTCTCATTTTTTGTCAGGCTCTTAGAATTTAAAAAACAACCCTAGTGAAAATCGATTTTGCAAAAGCGGTTGTGTCTATTTTTAAATTTGTTTAATTAAAATGTCGTTTTATCAAAACAGTTTTTATTCACGTCAATTTTAACAATTTACTCTGATCTTTTGGATTTTGATATATAGTCCAGTTGTTCTTTAAGGAATTATTTTTTAATTTTTTTACTCTTCTTTTCACGTCTCCCAAATGTTCTTTAACAAATTGGAAACGGAATGCGATTGGAATAAGAAATTAGTAGGAGCTGGTATTTACCAATCGTTGGCAACAAATCTTTTGAGAAAAGTCCAATACACATGGAGCTAAAACTAATATAAAAGAGCATGGGTAGACCAAGGTAGCATGAAATATGATTGCATATGAGCAATATGATCTTGCATTTGTTGAGTATATACATAGAATTCTCTTATTTAAATTGGATCTTTTTCAAGGGCATTGTTTCATAAAACTTTTGGGTCATTTGAATTCACTTTTTTTATATATTTTTTGATATAAGGTAAAATAGCATGTTTATATCTAAAATGTAGTTTGTTTTTATTTTTATCATATGTTTTTTTATTTGAGAGTGAACATAAAAGAATATTCAATACGACAGGCTTTAATGAGCTTAGGTTATTTTTAAATTTATCTTGACAAACTATTGTTGAGGATGTATTGATTATTACTCTAGGTTGGAGTGGCAGAATTTAACTCGAGTATTTTAAATATTTGCAGTTTTCTTGAAATTTCTATGTTTCATCAAAGCTCAACTTTGAAGTGATTTTAAAATTTATGGGTATTTAGATAATAAACGTTTCCTCTGGTTTAGATAATTTATCGACACTGTCATCATTAGGATGTTATTTTTGTATCATTTGCATTGGAAAATGGACGGCTTGATTTTGAAAGCAAAATTATTTGGTTGGGATTTTTTGTAAGCATTGTCATTATTGTGATTTAAATTACTTTTATTTATATTTGTAGTTTATCAACACAATCATTATCAGAGTTCGAACTATATATATCATCTAGATTGTTGTTTAAAAAATATGATGATAGAAGCGAACCTTTCTAGTTGCAGTGTGTAATGAACACTACTAAGTGTGAAAAATGTTTGATTGATTTCTTTGAAGCACATCGACTTTGTCTCTTTTTTTTATTGGATCGGGTTCATGTTTTGTATTAATTAGGTTTATTTACATATTTTAATCATACATTCTTTATCAACTTTAACCTCATTTAGGATTGGGTCTTTAGATTTGACCTCGTGGGTCTTTCTTATATGTTCCAAATTAAGGGTCTATATTTTGAAAGTAAGTTTAGGAGTGATCTTGAAGACTTCCTATGGTTGTAAAATAGGATATCTTGATGCTTCAAGTTTATCGATGAGATGCTTATCACCAAGTTCAACTCTTGTTAACTACAACCTTAAGTGGGGCTTAATGTCACCACCTAGTTGGAGGCTTGAAATTAACTAAAGGCGGGAACAGACTGTGTGACGGTGAAATTAAGTTTTCTATTATTCTATTTCTATCATTTATTTTTTAATATCTAAATATTAATTGAAAAAACCATTAAAGAAAGCAATTTGATTAATAAAATAAAAATTTATCTTTCAACTTATTGACCTCTTCTTCTGTACACATTATCTATAGCATTCATCTTTTATCCTGAAAAAAAAAAATAAAATAACATAATGAGTTATCCAAGATAAATGACGGAGCAATTATTCTTCTAAACTACACTAACCCACAAAAGGTGAAACAATATATATGTTGATCTTTTCTAATATGTATTAGAAAATCATCTAATAATCTATATTATATATTGATGATGCTTGCTCATGGAAGAAAACTATAATTTCTATATGTATTATCTTTTACTTTATTTTCCAAGGTGGAACGCTTAAGCTTTGGTATATTTCATACTCTTAACTTTAACATAAATCTGTGATCTCTATATAAATTACTTTGTTTCATTGTGCAGTTTTACTACATATTAATTAGACTAAATCACCTGTTCATAAATTTGATTACTTAGTTTATTAAATAACTTGTTTGATAATTACTCCTTATTAAGTCTAATTAAATTCAATTTATATTTATATTTGATTGTGTTATAGTAAGAACAGTAGAACAATTAATAATCAGATCTCCACTGCATACAATCATTTGGAAAGATTTTTGTTAAATCCCGCATTAATTCTTCCTTAAATCCAATATCTGACAGGCCCTTAGAATATATACTTTAAAAAGAAGGCCTGACGCCCTTTTTGTAGGATTCCTTTCATACAGTGGTGAGCATTCCATACCTAGCTGCATAGCCATCTCAGTTTGCAGTGCAGCATGTTCATATGCTTAAGAAGATTTTTTCTGAATTTCTGGACGAAGCTATTGCCGGCGTGCAGAAACTCTGCATTTAGTGCAGGAGCTGCTGCAGCAGTTGTAGCTGGCTCAGGAAACTGTTCCTGTATTTTAGCTCCTTTCTTGAACTCGAGCCCTGCTACCAATTCATCTTCATCAATGTTTCATTTTTATTTATTTTTTAATATCACCAATGCCAGCCGCTTTCAACATGGCCTTCATCTTTTCTGCTCCCGTTCTCAATGCATCAACGGTCTCTGTTGTAGCTTCTTGAGCCCCTAGCATAGTTGTATGATCATGAATCCGTATCTGGGAGATTCAAATTGCTGTGTTGCTGCTCATAAAGCTCTTTTTGCCACAAATACTGCTTTGCTCTGGTGTATCCCTAACCTTCTCAACTTCTGTAGCAACCTTCTAAAGAACTTTTTTTTTACCAGCATGTCAAGTTTTTCATTTCACTTCTCTGTTGTGAAAAGGGCATTGATTTGATCCTCGGGTCTCCTAAATTCCCTGCAAAACATGTTGGATTTCTTTTGAAAACACCACCAGTGAAGATCCCAAATACCAGATGAAAGCTATGCTAGGATTTATTCGTGGAGAGAGAATGCTATCGGGAGCGGTATTGTTAAGTACAATTGAAGCAGAGGGGAATTACTTGTGAATGAGAATCCACCACGGATGCTTCGAAGTGATCAGTTGCATAGATATATATATATATATATTCTATTTTGAGCCAAGCCAAAATTTCTGGTTTTCGAGCAAATTGGACTTTCAGTTAGTTCTATCCTTACAATGAAACTATGCAGCTAACTTGTTTGTCCATTTAATTTTTTAGTGCATCTTTGTAATTGATCATTTCTGCCAACAAGCTTTCATCATTTCTTTCGGTGTTAAGTTTTTTTTTTTTTTAGTTTTTTATTTAATACTCAAACCTTGCCTAATAACTAAATTAATGCTCAACTATTATTTAGAATATTATTATCCAAATCTGAAAGAGTACAAAGACCTACAATCAATATTTTCTGTTTTCTTGTTAAAATCTCAATTATTTGGCACGGCAGGTGTAATTACTCGTTTACCTCTTTTGTTTTTTTTACTTGGTATTAGATATGTAATTATGAGAGATTTGCATGATATGTACGCAAATTTTTTTTATTTCGTAATTAATGCCATGTTTTTGTTCTGGAATTCAGGAGATGTGTGTACTTCAGTTTGACATTCAAAGTGCCCTTCATGAATGCATTTCAATTTTCCGTGAGGTAAAGCCTATTTCAGTCTTACAAAATGTTCAGTGCAATTCCATTTGTGATTTGGCAAGCATTATTATCACTTTTTTGCGAGTACGAAGCTCGACAGTACTTTATTACGTTGATTCATTGATATGTAAATGCAATTTGAGAAGTGTTCATCATAAGATTATGGAATGATGACCAATTTTGTTAGCTAGCTTAGGCATGCTATTAAAGTAAATGTCTTAGTGGGCTAATGCTAATTGAGAAAAAAATAAAAATCAAAAGAATTATGTAATTCATGCATTTTACCAATGAATTAAATAATATTTCTCAATTTAGTGATATTGGTAGTGTAATTTTCTTAAATACAGTTTTATTACTTGGAAAATGTGTCATTACACTAGAGGTACTTGGGAAGAATCACCAAAAAAAAAAAAAAAAGAATTTCATATAAGAATTTCATATAAACTAAAAAAATAACATAAATTATGAACATTTATCCTAACTGGAGAACCACTCTATTGAAGCCTAATGAAAAGTGAATAGTGACTTTTTTTTAAATTTGTCCCCATCTGATAAACAATATATGAAACTTCATATCCACTAAAGCATCATCACTCAAGCTACGTCTTTTAGAGTCACATTGTCTTCACTAGGGGAAGGGAATGAGAAACTTAATATTAATAGAATCATTGTCCATGATAATAATTGTAAGTAATGTAGAAATTATCTCCAGTGTAAGCAGGGACAGACTTAACTGGTTTAGAAACCATTGAAAAGTAAGTATGCTCATAATTTTGAGTGCAAACCTGATCTTATAAAGAGAAACCACTAATGGAGACAAACATAATCATTTGTGTTCCTTTTGTGCTTATGCACTTGATTTCAAATTTAAATGAACCTTGAGGTATTCAAAAGTAGCATCTGAAGATCTTGCAAAAGGTGCAATAATGGGCGATGCTTTTAAGTTTTGCCTTTTGATTAATATCCATGAGACAATGTGCCTCTCCACATGTCCTTTTCAAGCGGAGAACGGGATAAGTAATGCCAATTTTATCCGAAGCCTTGGCAAATGATGACAAATAATCGTCGCATCCACTTATGATGACTGAACAAGTATAGATCAAAATGAGTATAAAGCAGATTGAATGAAGTAAATAAATGAATCCTCGGAAAAACTGCCTAAGTATTGGTTCTAGGTTGTTCTTTTGCAGCTTTAAAATGAAGAAATCGCCTCGTTTTATGCATATAATGACCATTAAGATGGTAGATGTGTCAATATTAAATCAAACATTAGAACTCTATTCAAAATAGAATTGAAAAACTCAGGTTCAAGTTAATCCGTGTAGTGTTATTGGTGTTTGTGTTAGCCAACCTAAAATAAATTTAGGTTGGGTTTAAGCCAACCTAAAAATAATGATTTAATTGTTTTTTTTCATTAATTATATTTTTTTGTTATTCTTTTTGAGTTATATTGTATAGAGCAAGTTGATTTTGTGCAAAACCCATCATGGCTTTACTGTTTTGATCATTTCGAGTCATTTAAGGTCAAGATTTTACATTTATTTCTTTGATGGGTTGCGATTTTAATTATAAGATTTAGGTATTATATTTTTAAATTAGATCAAAAACTGAACCATGAAAAGTATCCTATAGCAGAGCCCAACACCCAAGATGTAAAAAATTAGAAAATAATAATAATAATAATAATAATAATAGTAATAATAATAATGTAAAAAAAAAACAAAATGGTGACACGTGCTCGTTTCTATCACGATATTTCCTTGTTAGGAGAGGCTTCTCATTCAAATCAAAGGAGAAGCGAGAAAGATAGAAGCATGAGAAGATAAGAAGAAGAAAGAGAAAAGTAATACGGGCAACTTAGGCACAGTGAAGGTGGGGTCGTATTGTGCGAGAGAAAGAGAAGGAAGTGGAAGACTCCCTTGTGAGGTACTAAGCTAAGGAAGAAGACATCATCAAGCAAACGAAATCCATGAAGCAACTTCAGCAATTTAGATGCGAGAAAAATTGCGAACAAATGTAAGAAAATTATGACAGATAGCTCTCGGTGCGTGGAATCGAATAAAGACGAAGATGGAGGGCTCGACAGGGCTTCCACTCGCATCAAACTAGTGATGTGTTCGATTAGTCAAAGATCAATGGTTCTAGGGTTGTGGACAATCGACAGGTCGTAGCTCAATATGATAGGAAGACACGGAAGATATTTCGTGTGAGTCTATGCTCCTTCAAAAGGAGAGCTCGTTATTTAACCAATTGAAGTAAGAAGCATCAAGTGGCTTTGGTTCGAAGTAGAAGAAGAAAGAAGCAGCTTTGCGTGGGATAAACTGAGCCAAACCGAATTGCAGAGTAGAGGACCCACCTTGCGTACGATTGAAAAGTGTCGAGCAGGGAACATTAAAGAATTTTTGGGAGAAGGATCCAAGTGAGCTCAGAGGTAGAACATTTTCTTTTTTTCTTACTACCATAATAATGAAATTTATTAGCAAGGAAAGATAGATAACTAAAATACATGTATATTAATATATCTTAAAATATTAATTAAGATAAACTTTAGTTATGATAATTAGAAAGATTAAAGTTTAATGATTATAATTAGATAATCAAATGCTGGTTATACTCTAATTGTGTTCGCATATAGGAAATCACAATTTGAAGAGTTAATTGCAACATTAAGAACGAGGATTTATTTTTACACTTTGTATCAATTGAGTGCTCATGTTTTTATGTTATAGTAATATTTTTATTTCTTCTAGACTAAATGTATTTTTTGCTACTATCACTTGTTATATTGAAATCACTGCAAACTAATGATTTATTATTTTATTGAATGTTCGTTCATATTGTTGGAATGATGTATAGTAAATATTATTTAAATTAACATAGATAGTGAATGCTATACAAGTATATTAGTTGTTATGTAAATGAGAATGAAATAATTATTATTAGATAGTGGCTTTCATAATAGCCTTACATGTGCAAGCTTGGCTATGATGAAGTTCACCTTTTTATAGTACTAGCAGGAGAACACTAAGGTACCCATACACATAAATGAAAAGGATATTGATTTGATTTGTTTTAATCGACTTACTTTTTAGGCGATGCTCCTGTAACGGTTACACAGATAAAATGGTACATATGTGTTATTGATATAGTAAAACGTATTGAATGTTATGATCTATTATGAAAAATTATATCTAAAAATATAAAATTTAAATTTTTTTTTTTGATTTATAGAATCTCTGACTATTATACATATTGTTCACTTTTTTGTTACCTACTGCAGTTCAGAAGCACGAGTATTCACTGGTTAAGATTAGCTCACTATTTTGTTAAGCTAACATTTCATACTTAATTTTAATTAAAAGATGAGCAATAGAAGATAAAATATTTATTAAAGTAGCGGATAATCGGAAATGAGGTCAATTTAACTTTATTAATTTATTTTTTTTATATGGGTTCATTCATTATTAAATTGTTTGTGCTCTAAATTTAATTTAGAAAAATTTAATTTTCATCGACCAACTGCCTTTTTCGTCTTTGTTATCGAAGCTACGAGCTGTGTTGTAACAGAAATGCTATCAAAGCAAAGTTTAGGATTAATTAATATAATATTGTGAAAGAACAAATAAGATAATTACAAAGTAATTAATAATAAGAAATCTAAAAAATTAGCTTAACTCTAACTAAATAATTATGTTAATTCAAGCAAAAGGGTGCACTTAAGATTAATAGAAAATGGGAGTATGTTAGAAAATGAAGCAGTACCGCCCGCTATAAATTAAACATGAATGCCCTGACCCAAATGATGGTGATGATGACAATGTTGATTCAAGAGTTCAGGCCAAAGCTTGGTGAGGGTGACATAATTGTTGTGGATGAGTTTTTAAAGATATTTCATGATCTGCTTCCATCTTTGCTCGAAGGAATTGAAAATCCGTTTGAAGCGGAGAACTGATTGATGATGATAGAAAAGATACTAGATAACATAACTTGTCCTGATGAAAGAAGAGTATCATTAGCTACTTTTGTATTGAATGAAAAGCCAAAAGTGGTGGCTTGGTCAGCATCGTGATAGGCTAGGGACATACCTAACATAATGGTAAGGTGAGAGGATATCGTGGAGGTTTTTAGAGAATGATTGGTAATCCTATCTGGTCAAAGACAACGCATGAAAAGTTTATGAAGTTGGTGCAAGAAGAGAAGACAATGATATAGTATGAAGCTGAGTTCACAACACTATTGAGGCATACAACACAGCTGATAGCTACAACAGAAGAGAAATGTTATAGATCCCTTTATGGATTAAAGGTGTCAATCAAGTAGCCATTGGTGCTTTTGGGTATTGATGACTACTCAATATTAGTAGAGTGGTCTAGACGAATAGAAATTGATTTTCAGGGTATTTACAAGCATAAGGAGACACACAAGACGAAGAATTTTTTCTAAGGAGTGCTTTTGGATCAGTCAAAGGGATATATTTGGAAGAAGCCCATGTTCAGCTCAAGTTGATTTAATAGAGGTATGACTCGGAGTACTATAGTCACTTTTGTTATATATGGAAGACAGTATATGGGTGAATATTTGATGGGTTCCAACACAAGTTACTAGTGCATCATTTTGGTTATATTGCTAAATATTGCCCTTCACTTGGCTAGAAATTAAATATCAAAAGAGCAGAAATCAGGTTAAGTTCTTTACATAAGACTGTAGGTGGTAAAAAAAAGATAGAGTATACAGCTTCAACTCTTATGCAAGTTTAACCAAGATATCCTGTTCGACTTTGAATTTATTCGCTTATAGGAGAATTTTGTTGAGTTATCTTATAATAGATCATTGTTTTATTGTATCCATATTTCATCTTGTTGAATGAGATTTAAACTCTATGAAAATTTATGGATAATTTATGTATTACCTAATCATTAAGAAGTTATTTATGAGATATTTATAAATTTTGAGGATTATGAAGGGTGATTGTAATGACCACGAATAGTAATAGTAATAATATAAAAATCAAAACGGTGGCAACGTTCGTTTCTACTGTGATAGTTTTGTTAATACAAGAGCCTTTTCATTTGAACCAGAGGAAGGCAAAAAAAGAAAGCGTGAGAAGTGGAAAAATGAGTGAAATGGGCAAATATATGTCGACCGACCAAAGGTTTTTAGTGAACCGACTCACAATATTAATGGGTCATTGAATTCCCCTCTTCAACTAGTAATCAATATAAATGGGTGCTAATGTCAATTATGAATATGAAAGGGTGCTTGAGTCTTACAAATGTGACAATGTGTTATAATAACTTGTAATGTTCCTATTAAAACAGGGACAAACATGTAATTTTACACTAGATACCCCTGGGACCTATACATAGGGGTTTTTTTCTCCAATAAAAGATTACTGAATTGGCTTTATCAAAACTTGTGTTATTATGCACTTTGTTTCCTTTTCTTCTCTCTGTTTCTTTTGTGCATATTATGTTCTATATCTTGGAACATATTTGGATTCAACACTTACCCTTAATCTTGTTTCTTTCTTTTTAGTAAAGTTAAAATTCATTATCCCTTTTTGAATGCAAGATGCTTTTTGGGCAACCCAACTATACTATTTAGAGAAAGCACGGATAACAGTCTTGGATAGTTTACACAGACCTGCAAAATAATGAATGATAGTTGATGGATATCTTAGTTCCATTGCATTCTATCCCCTTCTCAGTAAAACATGTCAAAAGGAAACCAAAAAAAAAAAAAAAAAAATTTCTTTTTCCTTGCCTTTATTTTTTAAGCCAAATAAATCTACCTGCTTCTAGATGTGATTGTCTTTTCTCTTGTAAAATTGAAATGATTCTGCATTTCGATTCAACCTGACATAAATCTGCTCAAGTGCAGCCTGCTACACGGAGTTTGCTGCTCAGTTTTGAAGACGTAAAGGAGGAGTACATATCATGTTTGAATCATCTCATGAATATACTATTGGAGGACGCAAAAAATAGCTCGCTGAAGTCATCGAAAGCTTTGGAAGAGCTGATTGATCATGCACAGCAAATAAAGGGTGAGCTTTCGTCGGGTTTGTGATCCTGTTGATTTCTTGTGATTTATTATTTATATTTCCAACTCATTTGAGAAATATGTAATATTCCCTGGCACTGATTGAAATTGTTTTATGTGATTTATTTTTTATGATGGCAACTATTTGAATAAAGGATGTAATATCCTTCTACATTTTTATATAATCAAAAGTAATTGTTTTTTATAGTATAGGTCAATTTTCTTCTTCAAAATTAATTTTTGACGGGTAATTTTGTTAGTAAAAGCAATTTATATTGAAAATTTGTTATTTAAATGCTTTGTAAAATGTATCTACAAAAATTGTATTTTAAAAATTTTTAAAACAAGTGCAGTTTAACGTAGGTTTTATTTAGTTGAATATTATATAAAATCTAGTATATTTTAGAATGTATATTTTGTAATTATAATTCTAAATACTGAAATCTAGCAAATCAAGGCAGCTCAGATTAATTTTTAATTTATTTTTATTTACTATTTTTATTTTCTTTTTCATTTTATTTTTGCACATAATGGCTTCAAGGAATAATATGCATGTCGAGAGCCAAGGTAGGACCCTATTCACGATGGAGGGCGATTTTATATATGTAAAATGAGATTTTCATGTGTAAAATATTCTAGAAGATCAAATCATGACATAATAAGTTTTACGCTAGTGAGATGATGTTTTCACAGCAAGGAAGCGATATCAAAAAATGAATTAATAGTAAAAACAAATAGTTTTTTATATATATAAAAAATAATAATAATATTATTAGTGTAGATGTTATAAGTTTAAGTCATCCTCTCCCATAACAATATTCATTGGCATTTTTTAGATGAACAAAAAACATAAAGTAAAATCTAATGATTTCCTGGTAGATTATGAATTTCTAACCCTTTTTTTGAACTCCGAAGATTTCTTTATGTCACAGCTATTAAGTTCGTAGCATTTGAAAATAATAAAACATGTAGGACGTACCTTTTGTAATTTTTGGAGCATTCTTGAATCATATATGCCACCGGATAATATAACGTACTTCAGTTTTAGCACCATTAAAGTACAGTAAGTGTATGAATCTCATAACTAGACAAACATATCGGTTTCTTTAGTTGATAAACTACTTTAAATTATTCTTGGTAGCTAACTCTATGATGTCATCTGCAATAGAAATGTAAATTGATTATGAAAAATAAAAATAAAAAAAAATATTTTTTTTCTTGGATTTGCACATTAGCTCAAGCTTTAGCATATCCCCTTTAAAAAGGCTTGGAGGTCATTAGGAATAAATTAAATTGGCATAAACTAAGATACTTTATTCAAATGAAAAAAATGATAATATGGACTTAGTATTATTATTACGGACTCTACTCATCATTACCAAGTAAAATAAAAGGAAAAGAAATTCATATGAGAATTCGAATTTGGTTTTTTACAAATTCATTAAAAGAGTACATACAAAATGAAAATTTTTAAAAAAATTTGATAGCACCAAAAAAAAAAATGCTTCATTGTTGTCTAGATAACATCAATGACAATTCAATGGGTGAGAAAATCTTATGTAGTTATTTGAATGACGAAATTTTATCTTTAAATTCTTTAACAATTATACATGTATAGAAACTTTTTATTTCTAAAATTTAATTAAGTTATTTCATGAAATCCTAACTCCAACTTTAATTATTAGGATAACGTTAAAGTACTCATTGATTAACCGTCATATGGATGTCATTTTGTAGCCATAAGAGGAGATTGTTGATGGTTTTGAAGTTAGAAGAGGGGGTTACAATAGGGAGAAATGGGTTGCATACTGTATTTGGAGATGAAGATGAAAAAAAAAAAAGTTGGATCTCGTAACATCCATGGGATGTCATTTCAGAAAAAGCAACTTGAAGAGGAAATAATCATAGAAAGAAGGAAAAGGTGGTCAAGCGAAAGAATAAAAAAACTCTATGGACTTTGTAATTGCAAGGTGAAAAGGGTTACTGAGAGCAATTTAGGAAATCTTTTTGGATCTAGCTCTTCCAAAATTCCTTTATGAATCATCAGTAATATTGACAAAATTAAACTTCGTCATTGACTTTAATGCCATTGAATTGAGCAACGAACGCTGAAACGAAAGAAACCATCTGATGAAAGTTACAGAAGAGCTGTAAAAGGATATAGAATACCTTAAGAATTCTTGTTTGTAATGATCTCATGTATGTATGTAGCTTTTCAAAGAAGACATTTCTCTATAGCTCATTAATGTATGTTATGCTATTTGTTAATTGAATATATGAGTTTAATTGGAGTTCAAGATCACTATGCTAAGTATAATGTTGATAATTAATACTTTTTTAATATTTGAATGAAAGGGAATTGATTTCAACAACCACATCCTCCCCACCCCCTCCCACCCTCCCTTATAATAGGCTAAGGATCTGTTTGGGGCGTTATTGAATAAGGTGATGATAAACTTATGATCTAGATAAGCTGCTGATTAACAGTTGTACCGAATAAGCTGTTGATCGAGAGCTGATCCGGATAAACTAGTTCGTTGTTTGGTTTATGCTGTTTGAAAACAATTGGTTTGTAGTTTTTTTTCTGGATAAATGACTATTCTGCCTCTCCTAGTTACATTGTTTGTAACAAAACTGTCATATCAATATATTTGATACTTAATAAGCAAAAAACTACTTCATAACAATATAAAAAATAATATACACACCTCATATAATAGTGAGTATCAAGTGTACTAAAAAAAGAAAAAAAACATTTAAAATTAAAATTAAAAATATGATAACATTAATTTTAAATCCAAATGGCGTATGTTGATACACAAAAAATATATACATTTTTAGACCCATATTTTATACTCATTTTTGGTGATATTGCACTTTAATGGAAGGTATTTTTATGTTTTCTTGCAGGATGTTGAATTTTAGGACTTGAAGCAAAAAGAACGAAATTTGGAGCAAAAATGAAGAAGTTGAAAATTTATTCAGCACCGAAGACGCCAGAAGCAGCACCGACGACGCCGTTTGACAGAGACCAGCAAATTAAATTGCGAAACACTGGCGCGACGGCGCCAATGTCGGTTTAGCCCCTGTTTCTAGATGATTGGATGAATTTGGACGTTTTTGAAGTTTTTTTGGAGGCACCTTTTGGAGAATCGACTCTAGGCTTTATTTGGGGCCAAAATTGATAAAACAAAGTGACTCTTCCTGACATCTCATCACCCTAATTCAACCTTCTACGCATCACACATTCTTTCATTTTTCATTCCACAACCATTTAGAGTCCATTGTTCTTATAATTTAGACTTTTGTGGTGAGATTAAGTGGGGACTCTTCTCTAAGAGTGTTAGAGAAGGAGAAAAGTGAAAGATTTCTTCTTTCTACATTTCTTAGAAGAGGCTATAAGGGATTTACTTTGAGAAAGAGTTTCAAATTAGTGTTGTTTGTTTATTAGTGTTGTATGAACTTTCTTTTATATATGAAATTTAAGTTTTGTTGTATCTTTCTCATGAAGTCTGAGTAGTTTACTTTATGTTTGTTCCTACTTTGAGATATGGTGAAATGAAGAAATAATATGGATGCACCAATATTAAAATATAAACAAAATTATGATGATTTTTAACTCCGAATTTAATTTACTTTTCGATCTGGCCAATTGAATTATTAAAATATGTTGTGAAACATATGATCCGGGAAATAGAGTATGAGTTCTACAACAGAGTGAGGATCACATTTGATTCCATGAACGAGAATTTCATTCTTGGAATTAAGTGCAAATAAATAAGAAAATATACTTTGTTGGGTGTAGAATTGGAGAATCTTTACGGTGACATACTAAAATCCTCAATTCGATCTTAGTGTTTAAAAACTAAAGCGAGAGTTAGCCTTCCGGTGAAGGGAAGTGGGAGCTCTAAAGTGGGAGCCAGTGTTCTTCTAGCCTAGCCATGGATTTAGGGACTAAACTTGGGATTAGCCAACGATTTTTTATGACTCTGTATCAGAGTAGAGAATTAAAACTGCTCCTATTTGGCACAATACATATTAAAACCATTTATCGTATCTCATTTTTCCCAAATCTCATTATAGTGGGAAAGATGTTTTTTCATATAAAAAACATTTATCACATAAACAAAGTTTAATAGTTTAGTTGTTACTTTTTAAACTTTGTATTTCAGTTTTGTTATTAGATAAATAATTTAGTTCTGATAATATCTCAACATTCAAAATTAGTGACAGTAATTTTGTTTTGACTTTCTGTGAAATTTCTAGTAAATGTATCATTTCAAATTTAAACATTCTCCGTGGGATTGATATTTGGGGCTTAAATAGAAAGTCTTTTATTACTTGATAACAATACGTATACTTGCATAAAATCCCAACATTAATTGCTTAAATCCCAACATTAATTGCTTAAAATTGCTTAAATTTCTAATTTATAATATTGTGCATCAAGCTTTTAGCACATTTGCATAGCGGAGTCAACTATATAATTTTTACACAACTATATTTCACTCGGGATCAAGTTTTTGGCGTCGTTGGCAGGGATCAAGTTTTTGGCGTCGTTGCTGGGGAAGGTAACGGTAAATTAAATAGATTTGGTAAATTAGGAAATTTAGAGATAATTCTTAAAAAAAAACTAAAATATTAAAAAATTAAAAAAAATTCAAAATTCCAAAAAGAAAATATATTTTTATTTAAGAGTTATTTTTATGAAATTTTTCTTTGCTTATTATATTTGTTTATGTGAAATATTAGATCTGAAGGTTTTGTACCTTACGATTCAGAATTAGAGTGTATAGAACGTACTATTAAAAGAAAAAAAAATTAAAAACTTAAACAAAATGGTGAATAACATAAATAATCAAATAAATGAAAATCGACAAAAACCTTTAAAAGATTAAGTTAATCCGACGAGAGATGAACTTCACTTGACTATTTAAAATCCTGATGTAGCTGCTAATGCATATAAGATTCAACAAATAATCAGTTTAAAGGAACACCTACTGGAGATCCAAACTTATATTTTGCTAGTTTTCTTGAAATTTGTGCTACTTTTAAATATGACGGAGTGTCTAATGATGTTGTTAGGCTTAGACTTTTTCCTTTTTCTTTAATGGATAAAGCCAAG